AAACAAACTAGCAACCATATAAGAAACTCATTCACATGAGTGCACAGTGAATTTCAAAACTGTCTACGCCAGAATTTTTTTCTATTTTCTGACAGTGAAGGTATTATCATTACAAAATAACTTAACCTACTCTACTATTCCTACTTGAGTCATCAGAGACATAAACTCTTATTAGAATTTAAGGCAGGAGTATTCACTTGTGTGCTATTCTGATACTTTGGATTTTGGAAAAGTAATCCAAATGCAACTATGAATGTAGCTCTAAGATTTCCTGTAACAAAGACAGCCAAAGACCAAAATTTCCCACATTCAAAACCATATTTAGCATCTGGGTGCTATAAGGAAAAATCCATATACATTCTCCTGACTTGGAAGATATTACAAATTTAATTAAGTGATCTAAAGACCAGCATAGTACAAACTGGCCTCAGAATATCAATATCCTGCCTTACTCCAACTCAGTTAATTTTCATGTATTTCCTTTATGTTTTGATTTCAAAGATTTCTTTTATTCCAATTGTCACTTAATTTGACATTTTGTCACCAAGAATGTCTGAGTGGGTCCCCTAGACTACATTTCCACTGATAGCCAGTCAGCGCCGACAGTGAACAAAAACCTAAATCCACAAACACATAAAACAGGGCTGCTGCTTGTCCTTCTTCTTGTAACAAAGAATAAAAATGCAAGCATACATTGTGCATGCACACTGCTCTCTAAATGGGCAGAAATCTTGATGTGAGGTATAGTAGTGGTAGCATTTACAAGTTGTGTGCAAATATATGAATATACTAATACACTTAGCTTAGTACTGCTTTCTTACATTGAAAGAATTAATGAATGAAAAGTACTTTGAGATCTCTTCATGGAATACTTTTTCATTGACAAGCAGAGATTTCAAGTAAGAAACATTTTAAGAACAAATCTTAAAGTGAACTGGATACTTTAAAACAAAACAAACACTTCAATAACAGCTCCTGAAACAAACTGGATACTTAAAAACAAAACACACCAAGCTGCTAAACTCTGAATGTGTGTCTTGTTACAAACATTTAAAGAGCAATTCGATTTTCTGTCTGGAAATTCTCAATCTTTACCTGATGCAATGTACACAGACAATTCAAATATAAGCAATACTGTTTTCTCTCTTGATTGTTTCTCTCAGACAATGGAAATATTCACTAGATCTGAGACCAAACAAACAAACAAAAAGTATGGGTATGGAAGGTGACAAAAGATTATTTTTAATGGAAAATTAGGCCTGCACACCTGTCTTAATCAAGGACTGATACTTGTATTTTACACAGTTGGTCAGTTACTTTGTTGAGTCAGTACAATAACATAATGTAACACTGTTAAAAACAGACCTGCAGTAACATGCAAATATACCTTCTGAGGTCAGAAGGTATATTAAAGTCCTCAAAGCAAAAAGTGGATTTGGGATGGTGAAGAAAATTGCAAATAGGATAAGGTAATGCAATAAATTTGTTCCACAAGACAAGAAAAAAGATCTAGTACATCTTAGTTTTTCTGCTGCCTCCCTTTACACAAAATCCTAGGGAAATCAGGAAATTGGGCATTTGGTGAACAGATGCAAGTGGTGTATATAGGGATGACCTTGCAGACATGAATGTACTTTACTTTGAAACATTTCTCTCTAGATAGAAAACATGTATTTGAAATAGATATCTGCAAACTACAAAACACATGAAACAGTACAGAATTACTGAAAATAAACTTGTCCCTCTGACCTTGTAGAAATTTAAAATTACAGATTGGGAGAACAAAAAGCTGCCACTATCCCCTCTATTCCATACACACAGAGAATAATAATTAGGATAGAATTCTAGCTTAAAAATCTAGGAATCAATGTTAATATTTGGATAAGATTAAACCCAAGACTGAAAGTTATCAGTCAACAGCCTAACACTCAGAACAACTGCAGTGAACTTCTGGAACCAGCACAGAATTTCTCTGTTCTTGGCCCAATCACTCACTTTTTCAGTACAACAGGTGTAAACGGGAAAAAAACCAGCCTTGCTTTCCTGTGTTATTTTGACTTCAGTCTGCAAACTATAAACAGCACAAGAATCTAATTCATATTTCAGATGGTAAGGTGCAAAACAAGATATATATATTTAACCCCTGTCCATTTTAAAGATTTTTGGTCAGGTTCATTTGGGGCAAGAGGCTTAAAGCTGTTCACGGTGAAAAAATAATGGAGGTGGTAAATGAAGAATGTTTTTTCAGTAGCCAGATTAGTGTCTACTTTCACTGTTCTCTCGTTAAAGAGTCCACAATAATTTGTCAGGAATATTAAGAAAATCAAGGAAATCAGAATGAAATTAAGTTAAAAATTTCTTGTACTTACAAGAACAATATTTTAGTAGTAACCATCAAAAATGCATTTATATACAGTACAATGGGTAAGAGTTTTTTTTAACACAAAGGAGGCTACAATGGAATACATTTAAAAAAAAAAAAGAAAATTCTGTGACACCAGAGAAACAGTTCACTCCCATCAGCTCCTACTGCAACAGTTTACACATGCAATATTTTGATGGGTGAACATACAAGAACTCAGCTAACCATGAGGACAACAGTCCCAAAAAAATTAAATGGATGGGAGGAAGGACCTGGTGCTGCTTTTCCAAAATTCAGAAAACTGTAAAATTAAACCTCACTTCTCCTTTCTCCTTCTTCCACCAATGCTGTTGCTGCTCTAGTGGGAGAAGTCTCCCATCCAGCAATACAGACTTGTGAGCTCTGAGATATCCTGATTAGAGGCTGCATGCACTGGGGGTCCCCTGTGGGGCAGAGATACTTGTAGGCACACAACAAAGAAAGAAAAGGCACAAGAACCAGCAACTAGGAAATGTTCCTTCTACCTACAGGCTCCAGCCAGCACAAAGCTTGGGAGAGACTTCACAGGCAGCAGGGATGGACACTTGTTCCCAGTCCTGAAGCAGTTTGTGACTGTGTGAGTCATCACAAACCGGGCTGACCAGCTGGATCTCAAACAGGAAAAGGAGAAGCAGCAAACACACTGTGCTGCAAACACTGACCATCCCAATACCAAAGCGGGGAAACGTGACCTCAGATTTAAATGACTGTTTAATTTTCAACATGTCAGATTTCATACCTTTGTTACCGAGATCTTTCCTTATGTTCTCAAACCACAGAAGTTTACTGGTCATCATTCCTGCTTATACACATTTCCTCGTTTGTCTACACCTCTCAAAACTCCCTGGCGCTAGGATAGTGCGCTTCCTTCTGAGGTACAATGCCACCAAATTAAAATGAGCAATCCGTGCCCTGACTTTTGCTGTTCCAACTCATCCTGAAAGGAACAAAGTAGACTGAGCTATGAATTTTGGTAAAATAACTTCAAATACTAGTCACCATAACAAGTTGCCAGTAAGGCTTTTGGTAGAGTAAGACTCTACCAAAGGAGACTTCTTACAGGCATTGAATAGTGCAGGCATTTTATACCTCGCTTGGGTCAAATCTGGAAAAAAAATAGCCAATGGGTTGCCCAGCAGCTACTACTCCTTGAGACATGGAAATGTATTCTGCTAGATGTTGTCCCTGAAAATTTTATCAGAGCCACAGTGAAAAGAAATATAAAGCATTATGATTCTTCCAAATGGCTGAAAGAACAGGTGACCCCTGAAGTATGCAGAAAATGAGAGCAAAACCATGTAACTTTCTCAACAAGAGGATTTACCATGGATACCTAAGAGCAAGATGGATAATAAAAGTCAACCTAAATTAGATGCACACTCTGCTTCTGGAATCAAAGAGGATAAAATTATTTTGAAAATATTTGCTAAGATTTTCTTATGCAGCACAATGCTCCAGAAAGTCTTTCTATGGCTTGGATCTCATGTTAAAACATCACACTGTTAGGGCTATAGAGAATCAAGAGGAGTTTGCTATTAATCCACTGCACTGCTTGTTTACCTCTTATTCACTTAAAAGGGAAGGAGGCAGTTCTAGCCACGGGAAAGAAAACAATATTCAGTCATAAGAGCCTCTGCAGTATTATTAGGCAGTGCACTAATTTATAAATTGCTCTACATGATCAAGCAGGAATACAACAACATTTTAGATCAGAAAGCAAAAAAAGCATAGGCATTGACAAAACCTAAGATCACGGGAAAGCCCTGAAGAAGTTTCACACAGACAACTTTTTTTCCTACAGAAATTAACAAAAGAGACATGACAAACACAACAATGAACACATCCCTATGTTAATCTCTGGGGCTTATTCAGCTAAACTGCCTCCGACTACAAAAAGCTTAGTCCAAAAAGAGAGCTGGTGCACTGCAGTAACATTCCGGCTGTGCCCACTTCACAAAGACTCCACTAAGTAGGCCACCAATTTGGAAAAGCACATATACCCAAAGTGAACTCTAAAGTACTGGACCAGGGCATCAGCACAGCTCAACCGATGGGCTCGGCACCTCATTTCAGCAGGTTTCAAAACTCTGCACAGAAATGCGGGCCCGCGGCTCCTCTCGGCTGTGCCGAATGCGAGTTCCCGGCGGGGTGTCCTGCAGCCGCCCTGCCCAGCTTCCACCTGAGACTCCTCCTCATCATCATCATCATCATTACCATCACGCATCATGCTATGGGATATGGGGGCAGAACGTGTGTGTGTGTGCGAGGCTGGGGCAGAAACCGAGGGTGAAAGAACCCGGCCAGGCTGATGCACTCAGCGTGAGGGCCGTGCCAGCCCCGGAGCGGCGGCTGGGGGCAGGGAATGCCGGGGGGCAGGTGGAGTGAAGAGCAGCACCTTCCTTCGCTGGGGCGCGGGTCAGCTCCCGCCGGGGCGGTCAGGGGGCAGACGCTGCTCCCGGGGGCCGGGGGAAATGCGGGGCGGGGGGAGGAGGCGCCCGCTGCGGGCGGGGCGGCCGGGCCGGGCCGGGCGGGGGCTTTCCCATCCCGCGGGGCGGTCCCGACCCCGGCCCCGGCGCCCACCCCGGCCCGGCTGGCTCACCAGAAGAGCAGGTTGGCGCAGACGAAGCCGCCCAGGCTGCGGAGGGGCCGCTCCCAGCTGAGCGCCGCCGCGATGCAGCAGCCCACGGCCAGCCCGGTCTCTCCCAGCACCGCCGCCGCCGCCCCGGCCCTGCCTGACACCTCCGCCGGCTCCGGCTCCGCGGGCGCCGCCGCGCCTCGCTCCTGCGGGGCCTCCGCTTCCTGGGGCTTTGCGGGGAGCGCCGCGCTCGCCATGGCTCGCTGCGGCCGCCGGGCTGCGGCTGGGCCGGGCGGAGCCGGGGCTGGGGCCGGGCCGGGCCGGGTCGGGGCGGGCCCGGGGCGGGGCGCGGCGCTGCCCCCGCGTTACCCGCACCGCCTCCGCGCAGGTGCCGCGGGGCGGGCCCGGCCGGCGGGACGGGGGCGGCGCCGGGAACGGGCGGGAGAGCCCGAGGCTGCCGCCCTTGGTGGGAGTGTCCCCGGGCTCCGGGAGAGACCGGTTCCATGCTGGGGGAAAGCTGGGCAGCCCAGTTGCTTTGTAGATTTGGGAAGCTGAAGCCCGCTGGAAGGTGTTGCCAGTGAGACTTGTCCTTCATCTGCTCCTCGCGTGTGTGTGCCACAGGCAAGCACGGATGGAGCACGTCCAGAGGAGTGCTTATCAACTTGCCACCAAGTTGATAAGAGGAGTGTTTATCAATTTGCCACCAAGTTGATAAGGGCGCTGGAGCATCTTCCCTATGAAGACAGGCTGAGGAAATCGGGGCTGTTCAGCTTGGATTACAGGAGATTGTGTGCAGACCTTATAGAAACCTCCCTGTCTCTGAAGGGAGCTTGCAGGGAAGCTGGGGAGGGAATCTTTGTCAGGGACTGCAGTGATAGGACAAGGGATAATGGATTCAAATTTAAAGAGGGGAAATTTAGGTTAGATATTAGGAAGAAATTCTTTGCTGTGTGGGTGGTGAGACACTGGAAGGTGTGACCCAGGGGTGTTGTGGATGCCCCATCCCTGGCAGCATTCAGAGCCAGGCCGGATAAAGCATGGAGCAGCTTGGTCTAGTGGGAGGTATCCCTGCCCATGGCAGGGGAGGTGAGACTAGATGATCTTTAACGTCTATTCCAGCTCCTCGACATTCTGTGATTCCATGATTCTAAGATAACAGTCCCCAAACCCTAAGAAAAACCAAATGGAAGTAAATTGCTATTATCATTATACTGGAATCTTCTAAGACCACAGAGGAACCTATGGGAGTTTGATGGCTTACATCCAAGAAAAATACTTAAAATCTATACCATGCTGTCCTGTCATCTGCACTGCTACCTATCTGGCCAGCCCCAGGCTCCAGATGGAAGCGTGGCACTATGTTCAGGCTGGTGATGTGTGTAATAGCTGATGTGACTGTTGGGAATCTGAATCCTGGAGAGCATGCCTGGTGAGAATTGTCACTTGAACATCTGTTGCTGAACAAGAGCCAAAGATTGGAATCATTGAAGGTGTTTCACAGGATAAAGTGTGTAAAATAAAATAATTTTTACTGCAAGAGCAAGAATGATAATTTTGGATTGGGGATCAACATCTGTTTCAAGCTTGAGCTACCCCATTAGAATGTTTTTTTAATGGGAAAAGGAGTCATAGTCACTTGAAGGTCAATGTATCTTTTTTTTTTCTCTGAGGTAAAAAAAGATGAAATAAAATTACAGCATTAAGTTGTAACATTGGCTGTGGATTGCAAGTCTACTGTATGTTTTCACCAAGTACCCTTGAAAGGAGTTACTTTATTTTCCTTATTCCACATGCTCTCTCTAGCACATAAGAGGAAACATACAGAATGTTATTCTAAATAGGCAATAAACATTTTTCTAAAGGACATTTTAGTTTTATGCTAATTAGTTACACTTCTATGCTCTTATGTCTAAAACCCCAGAGCCAGGCAGACCTACCTGAATAATAAGCCCAGCTAAAATGTGATGAAGTGTTGTCTCTGAAGGTCTGAGAGAGCAAAAGGAAAGAGACAGGCTCCTCTAGTAACCTGAAACACACATGAAAAATAAAGGGAAGTAGTTGCAGCAAGGCTGGAGAAATACTAAGTTCTCTTGCTTCAGTTTTGTGCTGATTAATAAAAATTTGTCCTAAAAAGTCTTGGTCAAAACAGGGTGTGCTCTGTGTGCTGGAAAGCAGGCAGCTGCCTCCTGTGTGTGCAAGCAGCTGCTCACAGTTACTGAGCACTCCTCCCGCTGTCACTCGGGCAATCCCATGCTTTCCTAGGCTGAGCAGTGGTTGTTTGCTCCCCTGGTTTTTAGAGAGGGAGCAGAGGGAATCCTAACAGGAAATCTTAACAGTCCACAAGAGAAAAGCCAGCCTTTTTGGAACGAAAAGGAGATAGAGAGATGGGCACAAATGAGAGAGTTTCTCCTATACTCACCCTTTTTTCAGGTCACTGCAGGATGCCAAGCTGCTGCTCTAGTGAACACTGCCCATAACTTGCAAAAACCATCTCCAGCTTAGCCAGGGGCAATTTGCTTTCCCTTGCTAGCATTCAGTTATTTCAGTAATGTGGGCGGTTCTATCCAGCACCCAAATCTAGCTAACTCCAAACGGTTAATAGGTAAGCCTGGGAAGGAGTCAGATGTTCCTCATGCACTTTTAAAGTGACCATGGGATAATTAGATTCAGAAAGCACACTGGGGTTAAAATGTTAAAATGTGGGTTTAACCAGCTGTAGGATAATGGCAGTGTAATCCCACTGCCCTAAGGATTATAACCATGGCAGGTTTGAGGCAATCCTCCCTTATCAATATTCCACTTATTTTTTTAAATATTTGAGGATGATTGTATGTTCCCCCTGCCCCAAATTTTTACTCTCTGTGACACTCCCTTCAGTCACTGGTGTTCAAAAAGCTCCCCTCCCCTCAGAAAAGGGGGGATGGAATCTGGGTGGGCGAGGATGAGGTGAGGTTTCCATGGAAAGGGTAGGCTACAAATAAGGGAGCTCTTGGATTTTGATTAAGGTTGCATCCATTCTAGATTAGTGGCCTCTGCTTTCCTGACATATACCATGAAGGATATGAACAGAAATTAGTGAAAAGCTCTTCCAGAATAGGTTTTGTAATTTAGCTAATGGGAAAAAAGAATGCTTGATAGATGCCAGTTCTCTTTTTTTTGCTGTTGATTTTTCTTGGGCTTGGTTTATATGAATGATTTTACTGAAAGCACTCTGGTATAAACATTAGTGTGAGAGAAGAAATGGATGCTTCATTCCCAGCCATTGAAAGTTTAGATGTCTTTTTCAGAAAAAAAAATAATAGTTAATAGGTTGTCTATCTTTGATCTTCCTGTACTTTGATGTTTTGCCTGCCAGGGTTTAAAAGATTTGTGTGCAGTTTGAGTTTGGGATGGGAAAAACTAGGACTAGGAACCAATGAGCAGTTGCATTGGTGAGCTGTAATGTACAGAATTAGGTTAGGGACTGTGTGTCTGGTGCTAGGGACTGCAGTGTAAACAATGGATGGAAACCAAGGAGGAAGCTTTGCAAATGGTTGTTTCAAAGGAGTTTACAAATATAGAAGTATTCTGATGCTTCTGAAATGTGTTTAAAAACTCTGATGTCATCCTAGAGTAAGTATTGAATTCAGTTGAGGATTCCAACTCAAAATTGAATGAATTTCCCTCCTTTTTCTTTTTTGTTTAAGCTTGTTTTCCATTATCTTCATTTCCTGACAGGATCACAGACTAGGTTAGTTTGGAAGGAGCACCTGTAAGACATTTGATCTGACCTTTCTCTCCCCATATACACACTCAGCACCCCTGTTCCTTGACTGGCACATGCCGCTTGGTGTCATGCCCAGATAAGCTCTGATCATCTCTGAGGGCTAGAGATTCTGCAATGCACTCTGGGCAACCTGTTTGAACATTTGGCCACATTCATTGAGAAGAATATTTTCTTATTATCCATTCAAAATTTCTTATTTCACCCATTTCCTCTAATGTGGTTCTGCACCTTGCAGAGAAGGGCACTGTCCCTATCCGTTCTATAAGCACACATCAGGTACTCTGTAAGTAGATCCCTGTTAACCCCTGTCCTCCAGAGGGAGTGAACCCAGCTCTCCCAGCCTTTCCTTCTATGCCATCAGCCATGTGCCACTGACATTCCAGGGACCCTCCAGATTTCTTCCAGTGTGTCAGCATCTGTCCTGTCTTGGGTTGGCCCAAACTGGACAAAGTATTCCGTATGTGGTCTCACAAATGGTAGAAGGAGGGGAAGAATTGCTTCCCTTGTCCTACTAGTGACCTATAATTAGTGCAGGATTATTGACTCTTTGCTCAGTCATAGCTATGGCACTTTCTTACTTGTCTCTGCTTTGAGGCTGAGGAATTGTGTCTTAGCCACTCTTACTATTGCAGCACTCTTGTGTCTTAGTCACTCTTAATAAGGTATGACTTTGAACATCCATCTTCCCTTTTCCTGAATTTTTTTCTGTTCTATAACTGAAGTAAGATTTCTCAACAAGAAATAACTTTCTGGTGTGGTTCTAGTCACATCATCTCTGCATTTGTTAGGAGTAGGAACAGATCAAAGATATTAATAGTTTCATAACACTGTGCTGTAGTTTGCTTTTGTAATAATTTCTAAGGACTGCTTTATTTTTTTCCCTTTTTTTCCCCCTGTAACTAATGAAACATCACCATTTCGTCCCTAAGTGCTCATGTTCACTTCAGAACCTGCTGTACAGTTCATTCTGGTATTGGGCTTCCCCCTCACCTCACCTGCCTCACTTCATCTACTTGGAATTTAATTGCCATTTCATTGGACAACCATTCAGTTTTGTAAAGTCATGAAGGTTTTTTTTAGTCTGCCCTTATCCTGGCTTTCCTGAATAACTTGATGTCATAACTAAACTCTAAGCTTGCTCTTCATCATTTTCGAGTTCACTGTTCAATGGTTGAAGATCTTAGAGCCTCTCCTGAACCTCAGGAATGATCTCCTTCCTTTGTTTGGAATGGATTGTTTTCTCTTACTCTCTGTTCCCTGTCTTCAAGCCAATTATTTACGCACATCAGGACTTCTATGTATACATAGCTCCCTTTAAGCCTTAGGTGATGAATTTTGCCAAAACTGGTTTTGAAATCCAGGTAAACCAGACTGCCCTCAGAGATCTCTCCGAGAACTTCAGCAGACTTCTAGAGCAGAGCTTTATTAATCAGAACCTATGCTGTCTCTTCTCAATAGATCACATTTCTGCAGGTGTCCACTCATTCTATC